TGATATTAATTTGTTATTCAACTTTATAAAAGTTATCTTTAAAAGAGTTGGCAGGTTAGATCATAAAAAGTTTTTGAATTTCTAACTTGTCTTTTTTCACGCATGCACATATATTTGTAACATATGTCTCTACACTGTATTTACTGTCAGTTCTTGAGAATGAATTCATTGTTTCCTACCAACCAATTTTTGTAGAATAGCCTTAAACACGTTTAAGCAAATCAATAAAGTTAATTACTTTTGTACAGCTTGTGTATTTATAAGAATTGCTTAGGTTTGAAAATTTTGGTAGGGCATAAATTTCCTCAGACAATCGTTCTGTATCCATGAAATATTATTTTTTTATTTTTATTCATCTTGAGTCGTCTCAGATAAACATCTATAATTGCGTGCATCATGTCTGAAGTATTCTCCGTCTCAGACTTAAATGTTATAGATACACAGTTAAATATGCAAGCATAAATGAATTCACTTACTTGAGCATAATGATTCATAGTAACAATACTCATGGTAGTATTAAAAAGAAATAATCATATGCATTTAAGAGAAAGTATGCCGTGTTGATTATTTGTTTACATTTATATGAAATATGCAAGGATATCGTACATTATTCAAACTTTAAAAAGTTCATCCTTAAAGAATCTTAGGTGGGATCAGGTGTCATGGAGGAGCGAACATCTCGGTCGATTACACCCGTCATGAGCTCCTTATCGTCATGATCGAGATTACACTGAAATATCTGTCGTCAAGCCGTCGTATTAATAATAGTTTAACAATCAAATTGAGAAACGCCAGTCAGCATTTAAAGTATTGTTACTACAATAGTTTTTTACCATCTACAATTAAATTATGGAATGATTTGCCAGATAGCTTAAAATCTGTAACAAGTGTAGCAAAGTTTAAACAGTGTATGAAAAATAAAAATCTTGAAGATAAAACAAAATCCAAATTATACAATTATGGACAAAGAAAATTAAATATACTCCACTGTCAGTTGAGAAACTTCTCTAGTAATCTTAATGCAGACTAGTTTAATCATAATTTAGTTGATTCACCTAAATGCTTAAAATGTGGATATTGTTTTGAAGACTGTTCATTTTTTCTTTCAATGCCCATGTTATGATTTTGCCAGGAACATTTTAATTACATACTCATACCAAGAGATGTCAATATTGTACTATCAGGTTATGATTGTCTATCTCTTAGAGAAAATATGTTATTCTTTGACCAAGTTCATAAGTTTATAAAAAACACTAAAAGATTTTAGTCTGAGCCTTCCTCTCCATATTCTTATTACTTAATTTTTTGTTTGTTTGTTTTTTCCATCATTTTTTTTTTTCTTTTAAATTTATGTTGTTTTCTTTATGCATTTTTTCTCCTCAATTTTTCTTCAACCATGTATTCTTTATAATTCTCTTAATATTAATTTATGATACATGTTTTGTTGAACTTAAAATATGTACAGTAATTTAATTGTACCATGTTTACCTTGATCTTAAATGGAGAGAACTAATATAGGCCCTTGGCCTGCTGTTCAATCCATATTCATATTGTACTCTTTGTATATTATGAATAAAATACTTCTTAAACTAAAGTATTGTTAGTATTTGCTGCCAATGCCATTGTTTCGACCATATAATTTATCCAGAAAGAAAACTTGAAATACACAATACGTATTCAATATGTTGAAAGAACGTTTAGAAAGAAAATCACATTATTTCAAAAGTGTGAATAAATCAAATAAAAGAAAAATCATTTAGACCTTTCTCTCTTCGCTAACCAAATTACAAGGAATCGATTAAGGGTGATGTATTGCCTGATGGTAACTGATGTGATTTAACCATATTTCCGTGCAGTGACTGCCGCTGCTCATAAATCATATCTTCTGGAGAGAGCTTTCAGTCTCGTCTTTAGCACGAAAACAGGCTATTGGAGATATATAAATACACAAAATGTTGTGCCTGATCAGACAGATGTTTTTAGAAATGTAAAACTTATATGAAGTAAAAAAGCAGAAAGTTGAATATGAAGTTGTGAGTTGTTAGTTAGTAAATGATAGATAAAAGTAAGGCCATAACTAAGTCTACCTTGGCTTGTCTTGTTGCGACATAGAAAAGGGTATTAATATATATATCGAAATAAAAAGATCGTGAGAATTTTTAAGATAATATTCGATTATAGTCAACTTTAAATGCTCTTGAAATAGGCCTTAAATTTGTATTGACTACGCATATCGAATTAATTCCTTGATCAATACCTTACGTTTCTCTCTTAGCATGCATATCAGCTTGAATTTAACATTAGAAATGATTTCTTCTCCATTGTTGATTTATTGTTTTCTACGTTTTAATAATGTTTACGGCATTTCAACTGGAGGCTTTAAAATGAAATACTAATTCACTTGAATAAATTAATCATTATTTACAGGAAGTTGATAATGAATCTGATCGATGAATTGCCTCAAATCACGATTGTAAAAGAAATTCGAAATTGATCATTGTAATTTCGCTTACGTCAACTGTGATTTTGAATAAGATACAAAACAAAACAAGTTGGATTCATTCTATAACATTATCGAATAATGAAGCCATTGGAAAGAAGACTTATTTGGTGAACAAAGACGATTCAGGCGACTCTCTGTAGACGGTCGAATCTTAACTTTTAGTGTTCTATTTTTTAAAGTGTTCCAAAGATAAATTAATGTTTAAAATAGGGTTAGAAACCTTTGAAACTATCTATGTAAAGGATATATATTGAATGTGGTCGCCTCGCTAATTAGTCTTTCTGAGAAAGATATTCTATGATGTATTTGTTAATATGAGATTAAACCTTCAATAACAAACGGTCTTTGATCGTTTCTGTCAATTGTTGACCTTATTGTTTATTCGGCGGGAAAAGGGTTTCTTTGACCCTCTTTTATCTGTCTGACAATAAAATACAAAATATTGAACCATTAGAAATTCTTGCTATAATCATCAAAATTGTGGTGTAAAATTATCAAAAATATATTCAAACTTAGAAGCAAATCAATGATAAAGATAAAATGGGAAACAAATCTATAAAATAAAATTTAACATTTAACATAAAATTTAACATTCTATTAAGTTTAAATTATAATGAGGACAAAATGGGTAGTGAGAAAAATATCCTATACTCTGATGACAAAGATTCCATTTCAATATATCAATACTTCAAATAAAATCAAGTATCTGAGTTTATAAAATCGTGAAAATTTATAACACTAAAAAATACTTTTGATGAAATAGATAAATATAACGAATCTTGATTTATCTAAAAAAAAAAAATAAAATAGCAACTCAAATCTTTGAATGTAAGAAAGGGCGTAAAACACGGATCTAGGGGTTTTATCTGGTGATTAGAAGAGGTGATGTGCATCCCCTATAATCTCTTTAACTTATCTTCTCAAATTTCTCAATTCCATTGTTCTTTGTCATATTGCATATGTGTATATTTTGTAACAAGTCGTTTTGCAACAAGACCTTCTATAGTGAATTATTAATTATGAACTTCTGAAGTTGACCTGGAATGTTGACCTATCTTTTTAAAACCATGAGATAATTGACTTGTCTTTGGAGGCGCTTATGTATACTCTTTTAGAATAATATTACATATTACTATCTTTCCAAATTGTTTTCTGGAAGATTTTTAAATTTGAATTAGAAAACAGTTTATTGTCTCATGAACTACCATAGATGAGCATGAATATCACGTAAGAGTGCTTATATGTCGAGTAAAACATCGTTGTTCATCTCATCATAAATTTTTCACTATTATTTCAAATGCTTTTATATTCACATAAATTATGTTTGAAAAATTACACTGATTAACAATTGAAATACATACTTTCGGGTGAATTAGAAAAGAATGACACGAAATTGATATATTTTTATTTTAAAAAATCAACTGTCTTTAATATAATTTACTTTTTATGTGATACTCTTTATGCATTTTTGATGAATTTCCTGAAGTGGCAATAAAAAACCAATTAGATATAAATGTTCAAGAATCTTTATCAGTGAAATCTTTCAGGTCCACGGTGTAACAATGTCATCGTGATAGGACTTTTTCATCAAATACGAAGACGTAAACATCGTCATAGGTTTAAAATCTTTTATGTGAAAGGAAGAACACTTGCTGTAAGAATTAATTATTAGAATTTCAACTTGACACTTAGATATATCGACGACATATTGTCAGTTAACAAAGTTGTTTCCATTCTTATATCCACAGGATATATCCTAGTGAACTTGCAATAAAAAAATATTACAGAGTCTGTCACATCTGTTTCATATTTGGATCTTTTACTTGAAAAATACGTAAATGGTTATATAACAACAAAGCTTTATGATAAACATGTTGACTTTAACTTTTTCAATCGTCAATTTTTCTTACTTATGCAGCAACCTGCACATACAGTTTATATCTCTTAGTCAATCCGATATGGAAGCGCATGTTTTATGTTTCAATAATTTCTACGTCGGGGTAAGTTATTAATAACCAAGTTGATGAAGCAAGGATATCAGCAGTCTCGTTTAAATTCATCATTTCGTGGCAGGTCTGACCGATCGGCAAGGGAATGTTATAATATACAACTGTACCCATACCATCAACATATGAGGTTTATATATATATAGGTTTAAAATTATTTAAAATTTCATGACAAAAAAAATTACCCATAATTTTTCTGTTGCATATGGTATATTTTTTTCATTATCATCCATGGTCTCAAATTGATTAAACAACTGTTTTACATTTTCAGGAAAAGTTTTATTTTAAAGATCTTTCAAAAATATTGAATGCCCTAAATACAACTAAAGATTTTGCAATCTTGACTTCTTTAGCATCATTTTTGGCATAACATTTTATGTAATGTATATGTAAAGATATATGCTGAGACATAAAAAATAATTCCCCTTGCATGTTTTCAAGTGGGGTTTCATAAATATGGTTTTGATGATATTTTTTAATAAACCCTTATATTAAAAAACTTAGTGGTTAACAAAAAACACAAAATGCATGTAAACTATATTCTTGCAAAATTTTCAATTTTAAGTATTAGGTAAGAAGTGTTTGAAATCATTTCAATTATTTTGACTACACTAAAATATATATAATACATTTAAGAATTCTAAAATACTGCGAAAAATATATTTTACATCATTATTCTATTTAATCATTCTAGTCAACCTAACTGAAGAACCCGTGTCTCAGATTTTTGTAATGTTACACTGCTTTCATTGATATACCTTCTATTGCTGATAAAGTAAAGTGGCGAAATGGGTTTTATTTACTTTCATGTATTAAAATGAATGTAATAAAATTGTCAGTAACTATAATACACATATCATTTTAACATAATGTAATGTTTAGTCGTCTTTTGTTTCGTCGTTATCATCGTCGTCTTCATCTAGATCGTCGTCGTCGTCGCTGAAATCTACTTCCGGCTCTTCATCCTCTTGATCTGGATCATCCGGAGATATTATCTTGTCATTTTTATCCAACACCTCTAATTTAATGTTTGTATCTAAAATCCAAGAAAAAAAAAATGTTAGCATACAGGAAACATCAGATAATATTGTTTTAAAGAACCATGTCTATTACAAAATGTTTTTAAAAATTAAGAACCCTCTCTACACTGCATATTAAAGACTTTTAATTCTATGGAATTTTTCTGCAGTTAGAGTGATCAGTCCTTAGATCTTAATTACAATCAATAGAAATTAACAGTATATTTCACAATTTGCAATAAATTCAGGAATTCTAACATTTCAAAGGACTAAAATAAATTATTAAACACGACAGTAGCATGTATTTTTTTTTTCAACCGAAGAGGACAACAAAGATATCTGTTCATTGATACTGTTTTGTGTTTGAATTTTTTTCCTGGGGGAAAATGTCATATGCCACATATTAAATTTATATAATAAATTCAGTAGTATCACCTTTGTGCAATATATTTCAATTGTTGTCCAAATACATTTTGCACTGGTGTAAAGAGAGTTCTTTATAGGAAAAATTGAAATTTTAGATACAAACCTTCAATTTGAAATATCCTTTCCTGTTTGTCAAATTCTTTTTTATCGAAATCATTTAGGGTTAAATGCACAACATTACTGTCTAAATCAGCCAGAAAGCTTTTACCATCGCTCGCAGGCGTTACTTTCCGATACTATATTTTGAAAGAAAAAAGTTTCCTTAAAATCATAAGTTATCACAGATGACTGAGTTCACCTCAAAAAAAATGTTCTCTGAAAGTAAGTCAAAGTCCCACAGTAAAAAAATAATCTAGAAGTTTACATCCCAAGATGATACATTTAGGCAATTTTGATCTGATAGGGCTTGCCGTAACTGGGGAATACACTTATCCAAAAACTTCAACCTAGCCACCCATCAGAAAAATGTTATTCAAATCTAGCATCTGCAGAAAGTTTGAGAGTGTTCTTCCCTTTATGCATCATCCATAAAAGATATTCAATATCTACAGTTTCTTGGGACATGTAATAGACCTGCATATGAAACTTAAACACGGTCCATTGTCTGAATAATGCATATTGGGTTCAGCAAAAGAAGTATGTCAAAAGTGTGCATGCATCCAAAGATTAATCTTCCATGGAAATTTGCTAAACATTGGACTTATACCTCCCTTAGAATGAACCTGCTCCATAAATAATTTCAACCTCTTTACCATGTTTACTCATCCGAAAAATGTTGGTCAGATTCAGCAACCAAAGCAAGTATATTATTATGTTACATAAGATTAAATGAAACTTTTGACATCTATCTTAAATTTGCTTGTTCTGCTACCACACAACTTCTACGTAAAACCTTCTACTTCTATATAAAAAACCCATGTACATGTATCATGTGTATATTTAATAACTACGGAAGCTCTAAACACTGCACATAGTTCTATTTGTAGAGTAGATTCATGTACTTTAAGTCATCTGCCCTTACAAGTCAGATAGAAAAAAATAGTTATTTACTGTTAACTACTCGATGTATGTTGAATAAAAATATTCTTAACATTATATTTGACCAAGAATAACTAATTAAATTCATTATTTCAATTTACCCATTATAAGTAAACAACATTGATTTCTGTTCACAAATAGCCCACTGTTTTTTAACATTTTTACTGCGGAAGTTAGACAGTATCATATTTTGAAAAATTAACTAAATAGTTTCAATATACAAACCTTAACATAAAATATTTTTCTCCAACACCAAAAACACTTTTTCTTAGTGTTTAGAGCATCCAATAATTTCAATAATATACCTTTCATGAAAATTTATACACATGCATGAATTCACATGTGCTTATTATGGTACGTACAAAGGCTTCCGGTTTGTAGCCTGCAAGACATTCCCAGCTGTTGATATCCCAAATTCGCATAAGATTTAATTCTTCAAGGTCACAATATGACAACATATACGGACCATACGGATTTCCATAAATGTCCACCATGTCTGTGTGTCCACTTAACTTCATGTGAACAGTACCTGAATAATTAAAATTAATATGAAAAGTGCCTCGAAGGCTTTCAATGCATGGATTAGGAAAAAGCTTACAAATGATTCATACGCACATCTAGATTTAAATGGGATTGATAAGTGTCAATGCTTATGATTCGTGATTGTGACATATTACCCTGATCTATTTTTAGAGTAATTTTAAAGTATATTGAATATTTACATGTTTCAGCAACGACTACCTGTACATCATTTTCACCTTATTCTTACCTTTCGCCACGTCCCACAATCTAATCGCTCCGTCTGAGTACCCTGCTGCCAAGAGTTCATCTTTTATAAATACCAAATTATTCATGTCTAAACCATTTATGTCTCTGCCCTGTTCTGTGTACGCTTTGAATTCTTTCTCGTCAAAGAGTATGGTAATTTCATCTGAAAAATGTTATAAAATTGAACCATAAAAACACAAGATCTTTATTCGCATCTCCGGAACATAAAATTAAATGTTTGATGAATCTATCAAATGAGTGAAACTGATGCGATTTATGCGACATTCAGGGCAATTGAACAATTGGATCTCTTTTTAAGGTGTCATCCAAACAATCCACAACTTCAAAGTATGATTTTGTGTTATTTTTTACATTAAAGCTGAACACGATTCTAAAAGGAATTGTGATTTTTTACGTCCTACCCTGCAGATTTTTAGGGCAAGAATTAGAGATGCCACCATGTAATGTCGACACCGGTGTAGGGACTTCTATAAACTTTAGCGAGTAATAATGCTATACATTCTAATGCAGGAAAGTTGAACAATAAATTTACAATTATAGTTGTATAAGTCAGTGCAGTATACAAACAACACAGATAAACGTAACTGCAATAAAATATAAACAAAGGTAATGTAAGATTACCAGCACGAACACGGGTCGCCATTCCACGCCGATACCTGTGACAATAAAGCAGTCAGGTGTAAGTATACCCTAGTGTTGATGTATCGTAGATAATGCTATCGAAAATGGCGTATGCTTATTTATGAGTCGTGTTCAGCTTTAAGGACAGTCACGGCTAGAGCTCGAAACAACGACTATTGTTCACAGGGTGAACACTCTGCTAAATGATATGGCCTTCAAGCTTGACTTAATTTTGAAAAAAATTCAACTTCATATGATTTTCAAAAGAAAAAAGATAAGAAACTCATGCTAGTATTTGTACACATTTTCCGAATATTTAATGATTTCCCCGCGTGGCACAGTGGTTAAAGCGTCTGTTCTTTAGCATCGGAATAAGGAATAGATCCTTACTGGTTCGAAAAATATCCCTCACTGCTCAATGACCCTAAGGGCCGAGCATAGGTCAACATTTGTAGCTTTTCATGGGCAAGTGGTGGCGTCTACATAAGAGTGAAAAAAATCTCGAAGGGAACATCAAAGAACAAACATTACTAACATCTGACTTTCGCAGTCTTTAATTTTACCATGTACTGTATATGTAGGCATCACGTTTACACCAAAAATAAATAACTTCAATGATTTAAAAATTCTTTTTAATCCACAATTGTTAAAAATATGCCAAAGATTTTGCACTCTTACCAGTTCCTTGATATGATTTACTCTTTTAGAATGCAGCCTTACTTAGTATTTTTCACGTATCAAACTCTGGAAACAAAACTTAAAATCATTTCCTAAACGTATTAATGTTAAAGGAAAATTCTTATTGAAGAAAAACTGAGCATTTACCGTCTTCTTTTTTCCATACAAATGGTGTAGTAAGCATCTCTTTTCTAACATATTGCAACGATCCAATCACGTAGTTTCCTCGACTAGAAACTGCAACATCTAACCCTGTTTCCCTGGCTTGTGGTCCAAGGTCTTTTTTGGCTATTGTTTTGATGACTTTTTTCTTTTGTGCATCACAAATTAGAAATCTCTCATCTTCTGTTATACAAGCTATAACATGACCTTCTCGGGAAGTCTAACAAAATTGAAATCAATTTCACAATATCAAATATTTTGTTTATTTTCACATGATTGGTAATTTCAAAATACAATGTAACATAAATGGGCCTTAAAATAATTTGCTTTACATTATCAATACACTTTGTAATAGAACAATTCTTTAAATGATATTTCACTGACTAACATAACTTTTTAACTCTAAAAAGATTGTAAATGAACACGAATTAATAAATTGTCGTTTTTAGAAGATAGCAAAATGCACAAAATAGAAAAAAGGAGAAGGAAAAATCATTTCATATAGAAAATTTTCTTTACCTCTATTACATCGATGAGGGTTGATTTTTCTTCAGTTGAACAAGGGATGATTTTTGTAACTTTCCCTGATTTCAAGTCATAACATTTCAAGTTTTTCCTTCCTCGAGTTTGCACAACGAGTTCTAATAAAAAATCAAAATCAAAGTAATTTTATTTTAAATAAAACAAACATCCTTAAAGATGCATTTGAAGGGATCATCCACAAATTAAGTCATAAAAACCCCTTTATTTTTACATTCGTCACTTCTAGTTGACACTAGGGTTGATATTTAATCATCAATTTTTAGCAAATTTAATGAGTACATATATTTTATGCCTTTTGACCTAAGAGTTTGACCCACTTATTCAAACCCTTAACCTTCGCAATAAATTCTGAGCAGTTTGAATAAGGACTGCATATTCCATATGTGTATTTCTCGTAACATTACTTTTTATCAATCTTCAATTAGCAAAGTATCATTAAATCGACTGTTGGCTGACCTTTTTTCATATTATCTGTTAGGTCATTTACTTTACACTAAATGTCTCTTTAAATGCACTTTGTCCGTTTTCCGAGCAGGCTTGATCATGACAAGAAGCACACAGTTGAATTGGTGACAGGAGATGCTTACTTTTTCAATGGCACCTGATCTTACCTCTGATGTTTTATAAAGTAATTGACAACATGCAATCAATATATTTGAATATTGAAGATAAAATTAAATATTTTATCTTTAGATATAGAGAATTTGTCAAAAAAATTCTTCCTCATGCAAAATCAAAATGAATAAGCTTATAAAAGAACACAATAAATGGAAGTGAATTTGATCACTTAGTAAAACAATGGTCTTTTAGGACTACACAAATGTAGTAAGTGAGAAACTTGATAGTACTTGTGTAAATCTGATCATGAACGTTAGAAGATAAAGCCGACATCATAAAATACCTATGAACACGTTTTATACCTTTGCCATTATTAAAAAGGCGTAAATCTCTGTTCCCTGCAGGAATCACTCCCTCAAACACAGTAGATACTGATGTTGTATCAATGGAAATCTTGATGATTTTATCATTTGAGTTAACTAGTGTGAGAGTGTCGTCATCCAACAGAAAAATGTCCCTCGCTTCGCAATCCTAAAAACAGTAAGGAATACTTGTATATCAATTTAAAGAAGCAATACATCTTGAGACTTTTACACCCAGTGAAAAAACACATACAAGGTAGCTTGTGATCACTGTACGTACCAAAGTAAACGATTTTACGACCTTGTGCTTTTGGATGTCATAAATTTCAAAAAGGCTCGGTCCCTCCTTTATAGTCCGATGCAAAACTGAGTAACGTGTGTTCTTCATAGGGATGATATCACTGTTTAAAAAATATAAAAGGTGCATGCTCATTACAATATATTTTTGTTTTTTTTTTTCTTTTGACTCTTGTTTATGCATTAATAAATTAAAATAAACATCATCGATGAAAACTTTGCTTAAAATGTGTTAATGCTATAGAATACGAATATTCCAAGGCAAAGCGAGCCTTGCAAACATTCAGATCATTGTTGCCAAATTCAAATATTCAAATGAACAGTTTATAAAATACCGAAGTCGGTTTGGTTGCTCTGGGAGCTTGTTCTGTACGTCTTCCTTCTCTAGATCCCAGACTCGTATAATGTTATCTCCCGACATCGTGACAAATAACTTCATATCACACGTCTTCACATCCTCCAATGAAACGGAATGGTGGAAATGCGTTGATACTTCACTTCCGAATTTGTCGGTTATAATTACAAATTGGTTGTCGCATGTCAGTATATTGTCATTTTGCCAATAAATGGCATTCAATAAATTATTACCTTCCAAAGCTGTAAAACATTTCAAAGAATTAAAGAAGACAATTTTTATCTGTTTCATTGCATGCTAATCAATCATTTTTTTTTATGTTGATTAAGTAAATATGTCATAAAATTTGGGTACAGAAATGTCTAAATTAATACTACTGTTAGAGTATATTTTGTAATAATACATTAACAAGTTCACGTGATATTTATTTCATCAACATTTTTTTTGTTTTTCTCCAAACCCTTTATAGGAGGTGGGCCTGAAATGTTATAACTGCTAACACTTTTAATTGGAAACAAAATCAAAGAAAATGTACATGATTGTATGACATTGGTCATTTCTATCATCCTATATTTCTTTTACATTCGGAATTTTTATTTTGCCCCTGGGGGAAGGGGGTCAAATGCGGATCAAAAAATGACGTTTTTTATGCAAATAGCCCCTGAACTCCTCATAGAAAAAACCATGCATTTAAGGTCAGTATACACGTTCCTGTTATGTTTAGTATCTCTTGGTGTTATATATTAAGAGGCCCAGGGGCCAAATCGCTCACCTGAGCTCTGGCTATGTAAAACTACAAGCAAAAATCAGTTCAGTATTGAAAAATTTAAATATTAAAGTGGTTTCAAGTGGGATCATAATTTGAAGAAATTTGAATCTACACCACATGAGGATGCTTCCATATAACTATGACCAATCATGGCTTTGATGTCCTTGAGAAGATTTTTAAAGATTTTCCCTATGTATTCCTGTGTTAAATTTTGAACCCTGAACCCCCATCATGGCCCCATACTAACCCTGGGGTCATGATTTGACCAAACTTAAATCTGTACTACCTGAGGGTCTAACACATGAGTTTCATCTTTCCTGGCTGACTGGTTCTTGAGAAGAAGATTTTTAAAATATTTTCCATATGTATTCCTATTTCAAACTTTGCCCTCCCCCCCATCATGGCCCCACCCTATCCCGGGGGGTCATGATTTGAACAAAATTGAATGTTCACTACCTGAGGATGATTCAGTATGAGTTTATCTTTCCTGTTCCAATGGTTCTTGAGAAGAAGATTTTTAAAGATTTTTCCTAAATAATCCTATGTAAAACTTTGAACCCCCCCCCCACCATCATGGCCCCATCCTATCCCTGGGATCTTGATTTAAACAAACTTGAATATATACTATCTGTGGATGCTTCCACATGAGTTTCATCTTTCCTGGCCAAGTGGTTCTTGAGAAGAAGATTTTTAAACAGTTTTCCTACGTATTCCTATGTTAAAATTTGACCCCCCATCATGGCCCCATCCTAACCCCGGGGATCATGATTTGAACAAAATTGAATCTGCACTACGTGAGGATGCTTCCACATGAGTTTCATCTTTCCTTGCCCAGTGGTTCTGGAGAAGAAGTTTTTTTTTTTTAAAAAAATGCCATTAATTTTTCATTAATTCATAATTATCTCCCCTTGGAAGAGGGCATGGCCCTGAATTTAAATAAAATTGAATCCCCTTCACCTAAGGTACTTTGTGGCAAGTTTGGTTGAAATAGTTCTTGAGAAGAAGATGAAAATGTGAAAAGTTTACAACAACGACCGCGACAGACAACGGACAAATTTTGATCAGAAAATAATTCAAATCTGTCATTCTCTTCTGATATCTACTTCGTTTTCAAAATGCTTTAAAATTTAAGTACACCAAAAATTGTGATATAGGACTTTTAGAATATTACCCTTCAGGGTTATATAAGAAATATGACCCTGGAATCTTGTCCAAATGCCTGGTAAGGTACCCTAATTTTTCGTTAGAAAACTTTTTAAGTACCTAGACTTCAATGACAAATTCTTATATATTTTTGAGGAATGTGTTGTCTGACCTTAAAGAAAATCGTAGCATATAAGCGAAATTGTTAGACTAGGAAACTACGAAAATAAAACAGAAAGATGGATGAAATAAATTTTGATGAGTTAGAAAAAGTATGCATTAAATTTAGTAAGCTAGTCAAGTTGAACTTTGCTTCTGAAATACGAGGGTTGTCCCGTAAAATCGTGGACAAAGCGTTTTTCTCGAAAAGTAATGGGCGCACTAAGCTGAAAATTTCAGTAAATGTTTATTTATCATATTTAAGTGCATGATAATTTTTTTGATAAAATATAGGTAAAAATGAAGATTTTATTATGCTTGAATGTGCACGAGGTATTGTCCTACGGCGCACGGTCAAAAATCCAAGGTTTTATTAAAGAATACACAAGTTTGAATTCAAAATTAAAGTTTTAAATACATAAGATTTGGATTAAAATTATCCTAATTCAATTCCACAATCAATTTTGTAGTCTTTGTAAAAATTTTAAGGCATTTGCCAAATTTTTGGCAGTTTCTCGAGCATTCGAAATGAGAAAGTGGTAAACACAACATACGAAAAATGGCGGAGTTCTATGACGTTACGGCGCACCGGAGAACAGTTCAGTTTTATTTCGATGTTGTAATGACACCTTTAGAGACTTGAAATGACCATAGAAGAAAAAATATTATAAAAATATCACCATATCTTAAGTATACAAATGAAACAGGAGTTTTCTTAGCGAAGTTTTTTTTGATCGAGTCCCTGGGGAGTACAAAACATACGGACAAACTCCTAATGTAATAGCAAAAGACGCTGTCACAGTAGACCGCCGATATGAGATTTTCTATTAGTTGAATGATGGTGAGAATATTGTCCGTAACTTACTAATAAATCTTCAGAAGATCGCAAGAGGGTGCCAATTGGTTCTTTGACTGTTTATGGAGACTAAAGAATGTGTATCAGTGAAATACCTAAATTTAAGTCGGACTCATCCAACTTCATTTTCAGCAAAGATGAGCAAGACACTTTGACGTTATAATCCTTGCGCCGTAATGTGATACAATACATGGCATAAAATCTCATAATTTGTTTATTTGTGCATATATTTATCTGAAATTTGCTGTGTATATTACTAAAATATGTAATAAATAATAGTGAAAATTTCAGAATGCAGTGATGTTTATTTTTCACACTAGACAACTTGTCCACGATTTTACGGGACAACCCTCGTAGATGATGCTATAAAACATCTGGAAAATGCGTCCTCAAACCGAGATTGATAAATGCACAATGCGATATTAAAACATTCAGTCACTAAAATTACACTGCTTAATTTTCGGCACTTATTGAAAACACTTACCTTTACTTGTACGCAAAAGCTGAAGTGTAGAAATTTCAAAAAATGCGATTTCATTTATTCCTCTCCCTGCCACAATCTGTGTTTCGTCAGGTGATATGGCCATTGCGACTATGTCTCTATCTTCCCCCATTTTGACGGCCGGGGTGAAGGAATCGTCTTTTATGTTATAAACGTGCAATTTTTCCATGAGATGGCTTGTAAAAGCCACATAATTTTCTGATCCTAAATGGTAAAGATAACTTTTAATATTCATATTTTTTTTCTTGATTGTGTAGGTACCTCGGAACTATTAATGACATATTTTCTAACAATGAGAGCTAGAGTTAATATTTTTATGAACGAAAAGAGAGTGCATCCATTATATTTCTCAATAATGAACATAAAACTTGTAAAGGATAATTTATAGATGTAATTCCCTTAACTAAAAAGTAATTAAATGTATACTGAACTATGACTAAGAGACAGAACTGGATATGTCATTTTGTCACCTTTTCAAAACTTTCAGAGACAATTCAGTAATCAGTTTCATTCTATGCTAAATACTTGATATCAACTATATAAAGTTTAGATCAATGAATATTCCTTTTATCCCCATGCCAGTGGTTGCAACGTAATCGTGTAGCTTTGTTCGTGTAACGTGCGGGATCGTTCGTGTAACGTGTGAAATCGTGCGTGTATTAGACTCAATCGATTGCAGTTTTAATCGTGCATGATCGAGTGGTAAGAAACGTACATTTCATTTTCTAAGTTTTTTTTATCGGAATTGGTATTTAGCTTGTCTCTTTTCTTTAATCCAAATAAAATAAATGGAGCGCGATTACATGTAACATCAATGAACAAATTCATTATCGCTAGTAAATAAAACAATTTAGTAAATTATATACAATATCGTATCTCTTCGGATTGTATACCTTTTAATGATAAACTGCAATCAAGATCTATATGTTTAACGGTTTTTTTTCTCTGATGTGAATTTTGTTTACTGCTAATGGTGGTCGATGTATTTTTCAAATTAAAGAATATCAAAAAATTATATGATTATAGATAAACTATTACCAATGTTTATGTAAACATTAAGTCGGTGAATGTACAAGACATGATCAGTGAAACTTGATTTATTCTTTTAGTGACTACAAATTAATGAATTGTGAAATAATTGCTGAATTTAGAACTTCCCAAATGCAAAAAGCTTTAAATTAGTTTTTTTTAAAAAACCATTTTGTCTGTTTTGTTGAAATATTCCCCTCATACTACATACAAGTACCGTGCAATCTAATAGAATGAAAGTGCAAGCAACAATCGATAAAAAAGTACATCCTTGCGTATCGATCGAAAAGAATAAAATCAATTTTCCGAAGTCGTACAATTAATTTTTTGCGTGAAGATTCGTGCTTTTGCTATCGTGAAAGATCGTGTAACTTGTAGCATCGTGTGCGTGAAGGATCGTACTCGTGCAAAAGATTTTATTTGCATATATCGTGAAGAATTGTTCATGTAACGTGATCGTTCGTGTAAGTTGTCAACAATAACGTTGAAGCCATGTTAGTACGTATGATGGTTTATATAGAGTTTTTGCGAGCTTTCAAAATCTTCCGTGAGGACAAAACACATCTGCATAATGTAAATCAAATCATAATGTATAAGCATCCACCTCCGCTAGCGCTGAACTGAGAAATACGACCACGTTCGTTACCTAACAATGTTTTGTGCATCATTTTCCTATAAGTTTCAATTTCTGACACGATTATTAAAATTGGGTACATGTATCATTTCTAAATTTAACCAGTAAAGTTTCACTTAACAATGTGAGCATGAAAAATCTATGAATAGTGTCCTGTATGAATATTAGAATCCACACCTCTTTAAACGCTTATTCTTAGATTTACTGTTATACCTGTCATATACTCCATCAGGTGACCTTCAATCTTAGTGGGCAAATTTTTACGTCTTAACTCCTTCCCAGAAAGAGCATCAAATAGGACGAGTTCAGTTCTGTCAAAAGCAGCAATGGTACTTTTATTTTTCCCCACAAAAGTTTCCCCTACGTTGTCCTTCATTTCAATTGTGTACTTTAATTCCCATTCAGAGCTGCAGGTAACAATGGCGTTTTTATATGATTGCACTATTACTTGACCATCTGCTGCAAATGATGCCTTGTACAAATCCTGCTTCATTGTTGACCTTGACTTTAATTCTTTTCCTGTATGGACGTCCCAAGTTTTCAACACATTGTCAGATGAACTACCTGAAAATTACAGGATATCATTATATTCAATTTTGAAATGCTCAAATTTGATCAAAAGCTGCTAACATCTTATAAACTTGATTCTCAGTCAGTGAAAACATAAGTCAAAGTCACATACAAGTCTGAAGTTTTTATTACATGCATAGCCAATTTTAGAGTCCAGTTACGATGGAATCGTTATGATTAGAGGTAAAGGAGTCTGTATGCTTATGATCTCAAACTATACAAATGCCGCTCGAAGTAATTCGATAATTACAATAATAATTACAGAAAGCTTTATATCTATGGAAGACAAT